GCCGTGCCTCTCGTGTAAATCATCCAGTTCTGCCACCTTTTCTTCCGGATACTTCCAAATGATGGTCTCTTCTTCTTTACCTTCAACCTTTTGGATTTCTCTGATTTGTTCTCCTTGGACTTTGTTTTTTTCTATCAGGACCTTGAGTGCTTCATTGTCGATAAAACTGTTGACGTTTTCTCTCGTACCTTGACTAGTTGTGGCCGAGTTTGGGAGCAGAGATGCCATTCTGGTCGAGGGCAATCCTAGTCTGTGTTCTATCCCCTATCCTTCCCGTTCCCCTTGGATTATGGTGAGAGCCTCGATTACGGGATGGGGGGGACAATCCCCCAGAACCAGGGGGAGAGAATTGTGATTAGGAMCGTGATCAGAAAGAAAACGAGACYGAACTYGACTRAAGATCGGGGTGGAGTTGGGATCGGGATCGATAAAAGGTGTGGGGGGTAGAGTCTGGGAATGGAGTGGTGAGCTTTGGGACCACTGAGTGGGATAGCGTCAGGTCGGATCCGTGAGAGATGAGGTGGAGTGAGGGGAGGGATGGGCTTGAGAGGGGGCTGCTGATCCGGATAGGGATCGGGATAAGAGTAGATAATGAGATGTCGTGTTGGAGTTGAGATGGGAATGGGTCGGAAAAGACTAATTAGACTGGGATTGTACGAGATTCGGGAACAAAACGGGATTGTGGTGGGGAGAGGGTAGGGTCAGATGAAGGGCGATGAAGATGACGAGCGAGGTGGGGTAAATGATATTCAGACTGGGCGAAGCTCGGGATATAGAGGGGATGGGGGGGGCTGAAGGAAGGTGAGGGTCGGAGTGGGTTGGTTTCAATTGGGTCGTGATCGGTGAGGGTTGGGGAGAGCTGGGAGAAGGAGATCACCAGGAATCAGGATCGGATTAGCAGATGGGGATTGGAATCAGGTGAGGGTCGGGGAAAGATGGGATTGTTATCGGGATGGAGTTGGGGTAAGGTCGAGTATTGATTGGGATGGGCTGGGATCGGGTTCAAGGGAAGTTGTCGGGTGGAAGTAAGGAAGGTGTAATTCGAAGAAAAGGAATCGTGACGGGTCGGGTGTGAGGTGGGGGAGATCGATAGTCAGGATGAACTACGATCGGGTTCGGAGGAGCTGGGAGCGGGATTGGATCGAATTCGGGATGGGCTGGGGTCTTTGCGGTTCGAGATCGGGAGGGGGAGGGGGGTGAGGGTGGGTGGGAGCTGAGATCGGTTGGGGTTGCAGGGGGTTGGGCTAGTGGTGATATAGAAGAGGGTGAGGTACGAGTTGTGTCGGGAGACGGGGTCAGTTGGGATTGAGTTCGGCAGGGAGTGGAGTGGGATCGGTTTTAGGATGGTTGAGTTTGGGGAGAGCCGGAGTGAATCTGAATCGGAGGGGGAGTATGGGTGGATACGGATCGAAGTAGGATGGGGATGCAGCGGGCCAGGGTCGATGGCAAGATCGGGATGGATGTGATTAAAGGAATGTCGAGGTTGGGTTGAGGCGGGTAAGGGTCGGGATTAATTGGGTTGGGATCGGTGGGGGTGATATGGGTGGGATCAGGTAGAAGTCGGGATGGGTTGGGATCGGGTTTGGGGAGAGACTAATTAGGTAGGTCGGGGTCGGGGAGGAGGAGGAGAGAGTGTACGGGGATCAAGGTGGAGTGGGATCGCCGGAGGTCGGGGTCGGGGGCGATATGGGACGGGTGGGGCGTTGTGAAACGGAGCACGTTAAGATCAGAAAGGTTAATGTGGGGGGGGAGGGGATGAGTACCGTCGTGAGGTGAGGAGGGTTGGGATCGGGGCGGGTCCGGATCGGGTGAGCGGCGAGGTGGGTTGAGACTGGGTTTGGGTATGAGGCGCTGTTGATTGGGGTTGGGATCAGAGGGGGAGGGCGATCGATAAGGGTTGGGATCGGAGTCGAGAAGGGGGTGGGTTTAATCGATAGTGGGAGGGAGCTGGGGATGGGGGATGAAGGAACGAGGTAGGACTGGTGTGGGATAGGAAGGGGGGGTAGGGTTGAACCAGGCTCGGGACGGGGACGAAAAGAAGATTGAGTTGAGGTGTCAGACCGAGCAGCTGGCAAGGGGAGTTAGTAGCTGATTGTCGGAATAGTGGGGGGATAGATAGGGGCGTTAGCGTGTAACTTTACTCATAAGGAGTTCCGCTTGATGTTTGAAAGTTGGTGCCTTGGAGGAAGCCGCTTGGTGAAGACGACCGCTATGGAGGCTTCCCTTGTCGAATTTGTCTTTCCCCTTCTTCTCGTCCTTATGCAAAGAAGTCGTCCTTACTTCGGTCACTCTCCCCTCTCTCTTCCTCTCTCTCTCTTACTCTCCGTCGTCTTTGTCTCTCTTTCTCTCTCCTTCGTTCTCTCTCTCGCCTTTCTCTTTCTTCCTCTCTTTCCTTCACCTTCACTCTCTCTTCCCTCTCACTTCGCTATCTTTCTTCCCCTACCTCCTTTCATCCCTCTCTCCAATTCCCCCTTCTTTCTTCGTCCTTCTTCCCTTCTCCACCATTGCTCGCCGAGAGTTTCAGTCGGGATATTGTCTTCTGTTATGTGCTGGCTTTCTGGCGCGAAAGCCGCGATGGCGGATCCGCGGATGGTAGTGTGGTGGCGACTAAGCGAGTGGTGCGATGACGGGATTGCGTCGCCCGGGTGGGGCGTGCTGGCGCAGTCGCGCGCTTACCGGTGGTGCGGTCGCGAGTTTTTCGGTGCGATTCTTCTTCTTCTTTTTTTTTTTTTATTAATTTGGACCATTTCTCGATTTATGTGTGTCATCCTTGCGCAGGGGCCATTTGCTAATTTACCCTTCTCTGTATCATTCCAATTTTAATGGATGTCCCGAAGGACATCATCGGTGCGATTCTGACCAGATGGGAACTCAAAAAGGTGAACGCAAGAGCCATGACATACCTGTGGACTGGGAACCCCTCCAAACCTGATTTGCATTCCCAAACCGGCATGCAAATTCATCAGAAGAAGGCCCACAGAAGGGGGGGGACTCGGGATAATTGACTTCAAGCTAGAGGGTGGATAGCCCTACAGATGAAATAGATTTAATAGATCATAAGCTGCTGACAAAGCAACATCCTCCCTGGGTCATTAGTCCTAGGAAGTATCTTACGAACAGCCCCGCAAAAATACCCAGCGAATACACACGACTTTCTAAGGTAATTGCCAGAGAACTGGAAGCGGCGGAAGGAGAAAAGGTGACCGCTTGAAGACCCCAACAAAACAAGGAACCAACTAATAAGCCCTATGATTCAAGCTTGGAGAAAAACGATGCCCCCAAACTGATCAAACCCACGTTCAAAGACACCCTGCACACACACACACACACACACACACACACACCTACCTCCCCAGAATGGAAGCGGAGCCAGGGCATAAGGACCCGTGTCGTTCCAAAAAAAAAAAAAAAAAAAAACCACAAGGACGACAAATTCAACAATGTCACAACATGCACAAATTGGGGGAGAATCACTCCATCTAGTTACTGCTTCACTGGCAAGGCAGAGTTTGATACATTTCCAGCTTCTGTTTTGACAGCAGGTAAAGCAGTCAAACACATGAACCAGCTTGGTCTGACAGCTTGGCAAAGTTGGCAGCTCAGGTAAACCAGTCAGATGAGACGCGCCAGCTTGGTCCGGCAGCGTGGCAGCTCTTTCTCCACGTGCGAGTCAGTGTGTACAATTAGGGACGCCAGCATTGTGAAGCCCAGCATCAGTGATTGCCTCTCCAGGGTGAAGGATTAACTGACTGGGAAGAGGTGCTCTGTGCAATTTGGTCTGTATTTGAACAGTTCATACGTGTACCAACCGAGCTAGGCCCGTTGGTTGGGAAGACATATTATGAAGTTCCCGTATTCCTCATTCTCGCTGAATTGTGTTTAGTTGATGCATGCCCAGGAAGAGATCCAGACAGGTCTTGTAATCCAAGGATGTATCTGGTGAGGGGAGTGAGTGGAATGCCAAAGTGGAAGCCAGAGTAGTTGCACCGACGGTCGGCACCCCTGGATTGGTCAGCTGCCAACCAGCCGACTGTTCCACCCATCGACACCTACCAATTGGCAGTTGGTCAGCACCCCAACCGACCGACCGCCATACACCCCCAAAACCCCACCAGCACCCCCATACCCCTGTCTCTTATACACATCTATCTTCTTCTTCTTCTTCTTTCCCTCTCTCTCCTC